CTCTGGTACTGACAGTATTTCAGAATTCAAGTGCATCTGTTCCACTCCAATATCACAAAGCAGCCTCTCCTCCTGCCAGGCTGGGTACCTGAAGAACTACAGGTTTTGTCTCATCGTTAGACTGATCAGTTTGAAGTCTTTGTCCCCTCAGCCATATGTGCAATAATGCACTTTGGTTTTGGATGTCTTTGTCGTTTGCCAAAAGCAGCATACTTTTGTTAGATGGGATGCTTTTATTGAAGGTTTGTAACTAAATCTCCCCTGTCAGACTCATTGTTTTCTGTTGCAATTGCTTCCATGTTTATTGCAAACCAATCTGTTCTCTGCTTTCTGTTTACTCTGGCACCGGTTTTTTGTGCCCTGGTATGCATCTTTAAGTAGATTCACGACCACTGGCTCACTGCTTGTTAACACTTCCAAGTGCTGGTTTCACTAAATTCCCAAATCTTTGGTGCAAATTGTTAAATTAAGTCCACTTCTAGCAGTAACCTCCTCTTGTGGTCAGTAACCATGAGTCACTCACTGTCAGATCAGCTGCCAACCAACCATTAATGAGCAGAGTTCAGTTTTAGCCAACAAGCCGATAAAAATGGTCAACAGCATCTCCTGACAGTAGATCTCTTGTACAGCTCCCTCTGGGATGTTTCTGAAGAGCTGGAGAGTAATCTCTGTCATGATGGGATCGACTGCTGATTTCTTGTGCCTTAGAGGTAAAACTTGTTTACTTCTGTTTCTTTGAAATACCATTTCCTTCTACATAAGCTCAGACTCAATGCAATCCAATTCTGACTCTTCACCAGGCTCTTCAAAAGAGTTGAAAAAGGCTGTGCACTGGACAGGGATTTAATAGATTTATTTCCTTGCGGGCACTGATGAAGTTGCTGCCAGGGGCCCTGTAGTGGAAGACTGGCCATTCTCACCTGGTACACAGTGTGTGGCAGCATGCAAAGAGCAAACACTCTGTCCTGTTCAGACTGGTTGCAGCCCGGGCAGCAGCGGAAAAGATTTTCCCTGACAATTGCACTTTCTCTGGTCTTGTTTTTCATATTTTCCCCTTTTCTCCAGCCACCAGCTCTCTGCCCCCTCCCTTTCCTCTCACAACTTCCAATGTGGTCTCTTTTCTTTCCACCCTCAGCCTTTTACTCCCTTTTGTCTTTGGCTGACTGTGCAAAATTGCCTTCCATCCAGGGAGCAGCAATTCTCGTGCTTGGTGAGCTGCTACCAGGACTCTGTCAACAAAGTGATGAGCAGCACGATGATTGCAAGCCCAGCCTTTTGCACCGGATAGGAGGAGAGGACCATGCTCCATATGGAGTATGGACCTCCTCTGCAGATGAGGTCTGCTGTTTGAGTTTCCATCCCTTGGGTGCAAGTGAATCTTAGATTAAGCGGGACATGTTTTCCAGTTCCTGCTTTTAAAAGTAGAACCCATTTAACTCAGCAGACTGCCCAGCTGGAACAGGCTATTTACAGCTGTACCTGAAGCTCTGATAAGATAATGGATATGTTGTAAATACCTATCATATTATGTTGCCTTTAGTTAGTGTTTGGGATCACACGTGAAACAAATGGCTCCAAGGATTGAATAACATCTCAGGGTTCCTCTTCAAAGTGGGCTGGGGACCTCATAGGATTTTTAAAGTTTGTTTGTTTTATTGGAAATTTCCTAGGGACCTGGTAAAAATAATCTGATTGCATGGAAAAAACCGTGTACTGCAGCTTGGATCCAAGGCAGGCAGTCAGAGTGGGCCGTTTTTCCACTTCATTCATTTAATAGGTGCATATTTCATTAAGTGAGATTGGACCTGACATTTATTGGAATTATTAAGGACCTGGTAAAGGAGTGAAGTGGGAGAGTTTAGAATAAGTAAGAGAGCAGAAAACACATGTGCACATCATAGAGAAAAGAACATTTGTTCTTTCTTCCTCCATCTGCCATCTAGAAACAGATATGTGAAGGATGTTGGTCAGAGACAAGAAGACTGGCATGGGTTGTCTGTATTCTGCTGCAGACTTGTGTGTTACAGACAGCACAGGGAAGATTTTCCAGGGGCTTGGGTGGGGGTTAGGCTTGCTCTTACAAGGGGAAGACAGCAAACTCCAGCACTTGTTTGGGGGTGGGCAATTAGCCATATCTCCTTCCTTGCACCACAATCCCCACAGTTTATCAAGAATTACTTGCAGGCCAACAGCGTCCTGTCAGTTCCCATGTGGCAGGAGGCAGCTGGGGCACTGCTCTCCACGGATGCTCAGCATGGCTGCTCTCATGTCACTGAAATGCTTTGCAGAGCCCACTCCTCAAGCAGGAGTCCTTACAAGGCCCACACGTTGCTGCACATACAGACTGCAGATGAGCTGCAGCCAATGCTGCATGGTCCATTTGCTTTGTGTTGCTCCTCTTGGAGACGAGGAAGATCCCATTAAAGGTGCTCTGTGCTCTGTCATCTGCTCCAGTTTCCTGTCCATGTGAGAGATGTAAGAAGTAGACAGTCTTAATCTTTAGGGCTCCATGCAGAGCTCATCAGCAGCTGTCCTGAGGTCTTTAATGAGATTTGTTTATTTATTTAAGCAGATTTTTCTGTTTAATTGCCTGACCCATCCATCCTTTGGTTCTGTGCGTCACTGTGGTTATATTCACACAGGCACTCCCAACCTGAGGAGCTGGAAAAAAGTACTCCCTGAATGATGCCTGAAGCACAGTGGAAGACATGGTTCTTTCCCCCTAGGAAACCATAATCAAGCTCATATGTGTCACTTAAATCTACTATTGTGTTTGTGCATCCTGTAATTGCTGCTTGACCCATGAGGTGAAACAACTGCAGAATATTGGGCTCTTCTGGCGCCAGGGCTAGAGCCACAGCAAAGCAATTGGAAATTCTGGAATATTTGTAGGGGCAACAATGTCTGCAGCTGGGCTACTACTCCAGGATTCAGGAGACATCAGCTCCCTTCCAGGTATGGCCACTATGCCTTCATTCTCCCTCCCATCTTTTGTCCATCATTTTGGAGGTACAGACTCTCTCCCTCATTGAGAGCCCATACAGTGTCTAATGTAATGGAGCCTCGACCCTGCACAGCTCCAGGGCCTGCCTCCATAAATCAAGTATAAGAATGAGATTACAGCACTGTCATCCAATAGTAAAAAACATATGTTTCAGGTCAGACACATTGAAGGGCAAGAATTGCTCATTAAAGAAGAGAAAAATATGGGATTTTTAGCTTGACATTATCAGGGAAACACGTTCATTCATGTTTACAGAGTTATTGTAAGAGCTTCCTGCAACTCAGATATCCCTAGACAGCAAAAGTGAAACCATACATAGCTGCTCTAGGCTGTCCTCCAGGACTGTACAAAGCCCCCAAGACAGGAGGAGGATTTGGGGCTCAGACAGAAGCCACAGGCAGCACTGAGCTCTTTGGCTGACGGGAGCCTCAGTGTCGAGGTCGTGTGTCACACATTTCCCAGGTAGACCTGAGCTGCTGGACATGAGCCCCCAGCCCTGCTGCAAGGCTCCCAGCTCTCCCACACCAGCCCAGAGGCTGGATTTGGTGGTGCTTTAGCCCCACTGCTAAGCCATGGATCTTTTCCCATTTCCTGCTTGACTCAAAATGTAGTTCAGGGGCAGGGGAAATCTCTTCAGCCTTTTCCAGCCTCAAAGGAATTCTGGACAGCACTGTCAACTCAGCATAGGCACCAAGTGTCTCAGTTTCAGAAAAAAAGTACTTTCTTTTGTAGGTTTGCAACCTGGCTTTTTCTTTCCTAAATAAGAGATTTCATTAAAGCAAAGAAACATTTCTAAACCACTTGCAGTGACAATCCAGCTCTATGCTCCTCTTTTTTTGGTTGTTTGTTTTTTCTTTTTTTTTTTTCTTTCTTTGGTTTTGTTTTGGTTTTGGTTTTGGTTCTCTTGGGCCTATAGAGAAACTTTGAATAGCACAATTCTTAGAGAGTCAAAAAAGGAGACAGGGCAGCCCGTGGTGTAGTTCTGTAAGTCCAGTGTACTCAAATCTAGCCCTGCTTGGGTACCTGTCATCTTGCTGATACATCCGAATGGTGACAGGTAAGGGTCAGGTGTGAGTTCTCCAGAAAAGGGCTGTGATACAGCTAAATCAGCCTGGTGTCCTTGGAGAACTGGAAGCTGAGCCCGTCACCTTCTGAAATCTGGGAAATATTTATCTATGTCTTGTCGGGAATTTTGTTACTGAAATAATCTGTGGTTTGAACTTGGGACACATGTCCCTGCTGCAGAGGGGAAGGCTGCTCCTCCCCTTCAATGCCCTACTTAAAAACAGGATCACAATTTCTCAGGGCTACAGGCAGGGCAGAGGCAAGAGCAAATGAAGGGTCTGAAACTCCTGCTGAAATCATTAAAGAGACACTTAGGGAGACCTGAGTTCAGCTTGGCCAAATCCACTGAATAGCGTGGGGCGGGTCATTTCATCTCTGGCTCCCTGGCTGTAAAAGAGAAGAAAACTTTTCCCTACCTCAGAGTAAATCCCTTGGTTCTTGTCAAACACTTAACTACTACAGCAGTGAGGGCCATATAAATTATAATTGTACTGAGTGTCTGGTGCTGCTGCCCGGAACTAGCACTTCATTCTCTAGTGCACAAAATTTCTTTTTGATGGCAAAATTAGCTGCTGCTGCAACCCTAATTAGGTTCCCTGTTTTGAATGACTCGTTTGGCATATAGGAATCAGGTTTTTTTGTCTCCAAAGGAAGCTTGAAATCATGTTTTGAAATTCAAACCAGGTTATATTTGCCCAAAACACACAGACCCCAAAGTCTGGTTAGGACAGGGTGGGGGTGTTAAACTTAGAAATGGATTTAATTAACCTTTGCTGTTTATTGCTTGCTTCCAGAGTTCAGCCAGGTTAGGAAAAGAGCAAGGAATGGGTCACCCAGTGTTTACATGGGGCTTCTGAAGAATAGCCCAGACACTTATTCTCCCCTCTTGTTTCTTTAAACACAGTTAAGTTTAAAATTGTGGCTTCATTTTGGAGCCAAGGAAGGGGAATGTTGATTCAGAGAATGGTAAATAGGTAGTGGTAGGAGGCAATATGAACTTCTCTGTGTCACCTTTAACACCAGTGTATCCTTCCTCCTCCTCAGCTTGCCACAGGCAGGAGGTGCTACAAGAGACTCATCCTTAGGGTGACAGATCATTTCCATGCTGGGTAGTATTTTGATTATCTGTCTTCACACATGGGTCATCCCCAAATCAGCTTTTCATTGTAAATTAAGTTCCTCTGCACAATGTCACAGAATGAAAAGTTGGTTTTCAGGATTTGATCAGCCTGCTCAGTGGTATGGAGCAAGAAACCATAAAAGTTAAATAGCTGTCATTAGACTGGCATAACCATGCCAGGAAGATCCAACAGTGGCTCTGAAACTTAGGAGTGACAGGAAGGTTTGGTGATTAAACAGCAAATTGCACAGTTGACTGGGGAAAATGAGACACAGCACCACTTATTCAGCCATTGGCTTCTGCTTTTTTCTGCCCCTGCTTCGGGAGGAGAGGAGAGGAGAGGAGAGGAATGAAGGAAAATAAAACACACCTAAAAAGAAATAGAGAGGAATTTCACTCACTTAAAAAACAGTGTTTTGAGATCAGTATGTGACAGATTCCTTCTCTGAAGGCCTTGTATTAGGCTTTTGGATGGTATAAATCAATATACATCCTTTGACTTTGGTGAATATATATCTTAATTACATCAGTTGGCAATCTCATCTCATAAGCTAGTGAAACAAAAGAAGAAAAAATGAACAAGGAGTTCAAATTGAGATATGGAGATTACAGAGGACAAAGTTTTGGCTCAAATGTTGTTTGTAGTGACAGGACTGTCAATCTGCAATAAGTCCATCAGCTTCCAACAGGAGTTTCAACAACTACAAGAGATATTCTCAGACTGGGAACTCAGTAGGCTATAGGTATGAGCAGTTGTGAAGAAAGAAATGCTCTGCAAACAGAAGGGAAATACCTATAGCAGACAGAAAGAAAAATAATATCAAGTATCAGAGCATCCACATGCCTTCACAGGCTGCCAGAATGTAATTCCATCTAAGAATCACCCAGAAGATACCCCATCGTTTTGTAATGATTATAAACTGTGTGTTGAGCTGGAAGTAGAAAGCAGAGGGTTCACTGGTGGGGTGGGTGTGATGTCCACAGTCATGCTTTGCCTTCTAATGAGAGAAGGGGGGAAGGTGGGGGAAAAAGAGAAAGAGAGAGAGAGAGAGAGAGGGAATGTGAAACAGAGGAAGAAAGAAAGGAAAATAAAAAGAGTGGATCTTTGTGATGTCCTCAACCATGAAAAGCTGATTCTGATTGACTCAAAGAAGGAAATAATGGTTTTCTGGTAAAATAAGCTCAATGAAACAGGGTCCAAAAATGGTTACAGGACAACTCAGGACACTGAACCAATGCTTGCTCTTTCCACAGAAACAGGAATAGTTAATTTCTTTTTGTGATCTGTAATGTAATGGGAGCCGAGAAGGTCTCTCATTACACTTTTGGACAGCAGCTAGGAGAGTGAAACCTCCAGTCATGGCAAAGCACTTCTGGAATCCAAGTGAAGATGAAGATATCATGGAAACTTAGATCTGGACCGTCCAAAACATTCCTCCAGCCTTGCAGTGGAAGGCCTGGAGATACTGCATGACAGTAAGTGGCAGTATTTGCAAAACAGAAGGAGATGCAAGCAAGCTTGCTCCTTTCTAATTATGGAGGACTGCATAGTTGATTCAGCCTTAAATAGCCTCTGAAACAGGAACATGCAAAGAGAAAATTTCCACTTGGACTGAAATTTTTGCTTGGTGGAAGCCAAATTCTTGAGAAAATTAGATAGACTGATAAGGTTTTTCAGATCTCCTTTGGCATGGAAAGCCCAGGGTTGAGCAACTTTGATATATTTATTGGGCAGGTTCCAAAACATTTCAGTGCACAGATGATACAAACTGTAAAAATGTGTCTGCTGATGATATAATTGTCTAGGACAGAGCTGTCACTGAACATCAGGAATTGTTTCAGCATGTGCTTGCTGAAGTTACAAGTGGGGAAAGGTTTTAATTATGTGAAATAAAATTTCAACGGAATTAAAAAAAGAAAGAAAGAAAGAAAGATGTAAGGGGAAAAAGTCCCAATTGTTACAGATGTTGACCTTAAAATGATACTGTTATAGTTCTGTCTCTCATACATGTTGAGTTTTAAGTTCATGACAAGATTTTCACAACCTGTGTGAAATGCCTTCCTAAACTCAGGGAGTTTAACCACTTGTAGTATGTACTGATATCAATCCAGGTTGCTTTTTTAGGGTCCTATTAAAAGCAACCAAGTTCTGCACAGATGCTTCGAGTGGTGGCTTAGGAGCTCTACTTCACCCAAGATGTTGCACAACTGAGTAGATAGATGCCTGTAGTGAATGCAGAACGAAATGGAGATAAGAAAGCAAATGCCTGTGAAACTTAAGAAAACAATGCTGGGTCTTGCACATGGTTGTCCTGATTTGCCCAAGTCTCCCAAGGGTTATAAACAATGCAAGCAGACAACAGTTCCCTCTGGAACTGGAAGAATGCACTGTGAGCCTTGAGTTGGTGACCCAGGATATGATTTAGTCACAGACATGCTGTTGAGAGTATATGCTCCACTTGTCAGTACATAACCTGATGATGTGGAACAAGCAGGAACAACTCATGCAAACGCTGTAAAAGCATCGTGTGCTGCATCTCCTGAGAACTGGGGAATCCTCCAAGAACTAAAGAGAGCAAGCCTCAGTGCACAGAACAACTGAAAGCTCCTCTGTGTGCTTGGTCTCTGTATGTGCAGGTGGTTCTGCAGTGAAAGAAGCAGAAAGCAGGTGAAGAGAATGAGGAGGGCATGCATGGCTGTGTCTAACTACTTCTGCATTCATTTGGAGTCAGGGGTCAGCTCGTTTTCCAACACCAATCAGTCCAGCCACACTGAAACCTAAGCCAACAAGACAGATTCTCTACTGAAGCAAGTTGGCATCTGTCCACTGACAAAAGCAGGGCTCATCCTTTGGTGATGTGAAGCAGCGTAACACAGCCTTGGCTCTGGAAAAAGTCAACAGAACAGCAGCAATCATCAGAAGCTGAGATTTTGGCTCCCTCCCTTTTGTTTTACAGTAGATTAGGAAGGCAGAGATTTTCCAAAAGACTGGTGAGGCTAAATGACAGCAGAGGGGGGCGGAAGGGAGGCAGGGAGCCAAGCTAAGGAGCTTTGCTGGACTCCAAGCTGATGCTGCCAGAGCCAGCAGTGGGATGGGCAAAGAGGAGAAGGCTCAGAAAGCTGAGTGGGCATTTGCCATAAGGGGAAAGAGACAGGCACCAAGGGACTAGCTGCAGGGTGGGTGAGAAGAGAGTGGGTCCAGGGAACAGGGCCAAGAGGAGGAGAAGGGAATGGGACTCAGCAGCAGGACAAGTGGCAGAAAGGTTTGCTGTCCTCTGGCACATTCATGATGTAACACCAATAGCTACACCACGCAGCCTTTCTCGCACCATCATTGTGCTTCTTCAGCAAATTTGCTGCTGTGCTGACTTTAGAAAAGTCGTCTTTAAAAAGAGGAAGGGGGTTCAGTCGAGGTGGTACCACCTAATCCTGAAGTTGCCCAACACTTCTTATTGAAAGGCTGTTTTCAGTTGCTTCTAACTTTGTCACACTAACCATCTGGCCTGCAATTCCCCATGCTGAGTGTCTGCCTCAAGCTGAATTTGTTTTGTTCATTTGTTTCTGCATTTCTGCTTAAGTGGCATGGCTGTTTCTGAGAACAAGGAGAAGAAAAATGCATTGTTTCCTTCATGGTGAAACATTCAGTGGTTTGTGACTCCCATGTCTCAGAATGGGCACCCAAGCAGAGGCTGCTCTTGGTGTCAAGGATGTGCTCTTGGAAACCTCATTAAAATCCACTCATTTGGCTACCTTATAAGCCTCAGAAAAGCCAACATTTGATTTTTGCCTGAAAAAGAGATGAGTCAAGCACTTGTTTTCTCTGAAGGTTTCTTGTTTATCTCCTGTGGGTTTGTGCTTCATCTTTCCTGGCTCCTCTCTAGGTGCAGTTGGTGTAGGTTCCCTGCACGGGGACAAAACAATCAAACAGGGTTGCCTCTGCCACCACTGCTGCTGAGATCTGGTACTGGTGAGTACAGTAAGAGGACTGTACCCACTCTGTCTTCAAAGGCAGAGGTAAATTGAGACATAAACTGGAAGAAGCTGGGGTGTAGGAATGAAAAAAATCACATGCAGTATCAGCCTGAGCTGAGAGAAGATGTGGTATGAGTGAGAGAAACGAGACGGAGGTCATGAGTGCCACAGTACATGGGGGTCATCATTCAGAATCTAAGTGATATAGTAGAAGTGTTAAAGCCATGAATTTCTGGTTTGTGTCTGTACGCCAGTGTCTCATGGCAGCCCAGCTCCAATACCAAGCCCAGCACGCTCCTGTGGCTGCAGTGTGCAGGGCTGGTGGGCTGCTGCTCTCCCATCACTTCAGGTAGCAAAGGGATGGAAATCCCCAGCTCCCTGGAGACCTGTGCCAGGGTCAGCTCATCCACACACCACTCACTGTCTAAGGAGTGAGAAAGGAAGCTCTGAAACTTTGTTGTGGTTCCCCCCACAAGTCTGTGCAATAGCACATGGAGAGCTCTGTTAAAGCAACATTATGACTGCACAGTGGAGTGAGGAAAAGCTAGTCTGGAGGCTTTCCATAAAGCATTAATTCATCTCCTTTGTGCCTGTGTGTTATAGTACAGCCTTTAATTACATGATCACACAGTGTTTTGTTGGGTTTTTCCCACAGGACCCCTGCATGTTTTATTGCCAAGATGGAGGGGAGTGTAGGAAATGAGGAAGGGGATTGGAGGGGGAGAAGAGATGATCTGATCATTAATGCAACTGAACGCTGCCTAGCCCTGCTCCTACGACTGAGCCCTTGTGTGCTACTGGCAAGTCACTTAAATAAGCATTTTCTAAGTTGGCCACTACCTCCCATTTTGTTTGCCAAGCTACGGACACCTGGGGCCAGGCTGGCAAAAGTGCTGAGCATTCTGCATTGCAAGCAAAGTTGCTGGGAGCTGTGTCTTCAACACGAAATTATGAGAGTTCCTGGCATTATAGATTCAAGAAATCCTGGCCACTCTTAGAATTTCCCTGCCCTGCACTCTTCGGCCAAGGATGCATTTTCCATCTAGAAATCATTCATAGCTGGCCATAATACGTTTGCCAGAGATTCTG